TAGAGCGGGAAGGTGTGAATGAGGTGGAAACGATGGCGATGGAGGGAAGGTGAGCTCGAGGTATACAGATACCATGACTGCCATGCAAGCATTTTAATACTTAAACTAGTCAAAGATGGTGGATTGTAGATGATTCATTTGTACTTGCATGCCATCCTGTCATCGGGTCATGCGCAAATCCATGGCTTCAAGACGTTGAAGGATGTCCCCCGTAGTATCAGAAGGTTGTGGAGGCGGTGGTGTAGGTGGGGATGGACGAGATGACTGAGAAGAGTTAGGCACGTCCCGATGTCCCACACGCCTATCACGGAGTTCCCGTGTAAATGGTTGTTTCCAGTGTAACACTTCATCAGTTTCTCGCACGGGAACAGCCCTGTGTATGCAAAGGTCATGGATGAAAGAGGGGTGACCCAAACTGCATGTAGCTGGCCTGGCTAAGACGCGAAGAATGCTATTTTGAATGACTCTGTCAACATCAATAGGATACCCCTTCTAAATAACAAAATTCAGTAAAGGTCGTTCCTTGGTGACCTCGCTGGTGTTACTACTGGGGATCATGTTAGCTGATATGAAGTGGTCCTAAATTTTACAGTTAGGTATTAGACCAGAGGCAGGAAAGTGAGTTACATCACTAGCTGATCTTTTCAATTCAGTATCGAGGCGAGCTATAGTGCGAATTATCTCATCGGGATTGACCCCCTCATCGCACATTCGGGAATAGTCATCACTGGGTATATCCCGCGTGTGGTAGAACTTATTAATTGAAGCACTGTCAAACTTGGTTCAAAAACCCCGGACAAAAACTTTGAAGTTCTCGTGTTCATTGGTATTGGCGTAAAATTCTTTCACCAAAGGAACGGATGCAGCTGTAGGTTGCTTGGTAAACTTCTCCCATCCCAAACTGTATATTTCATTAGGCAGAAAATTTTCAAGGCCCCTCTCAGGAATGAAATTTCGATGTATCACACTTTTTTTATAGCGTTCCTCTACTTCGAGACTAATGAATCATCTTCGATCAAACACTGTAGTAGATGAAGAGGCAGTGACCTTGGATTTCTTTTTAGGAGGTGTGGTGTAAGTGTTCTTCCCAATATCACGCGAAGTCAACTGGCCACCTAAACCAATTCAATGAATTTGCCTTAGTAAATGAAGTATGTCCAAAGTAGACACGAAAATCTTAATGAAACAATATATCGAACATGTGGTAGGCGGCTAGAATAATCAGGTACAAAGCCTAATGCAAGCCATCAAAAATATTCCAAGAATAGCGCAAAAGAAGTATTTGGTGAAATGTATCAAACACATTGTGGTCAAGACAATAAATCAATAATTAGGAAAATCCAAGCCCATAGAAATTTGCAAAGTCTTCTAACATAGATCCCAAAATTTACAAAGAACTTCAAAGAGGCAAAAGAACAAACACATTGTATGCATACAACAAAATAATTTCGAAGAAAAAAACAAAAATCCACACAATCTTTACCAAAGCACAATCCAACAAAGAAAAATGAGAATGTGACGTAGCCCCAAACAATATTACTAGAAGTTCAAATTAAGCTAAATGATGTAAAATTGCATTTTAAAAGAACGAACCTTCTTTCAAGAACTAGTCAATAACCCTTCAACTCTAATGAAAGTAGTGGGTATGGCTTGTTATAGATGTGAATGTGTGTAAAGGTGTGGTAGTATGAGAGAATTAGGTGTGTGCAAGTGTGGGGAGGGAGAGGGAGAGACTGGAGAGAGTAAAAGAATAAAAGGGTTTGGGGGTAGGGAGATAAAAAAGAAAGAGGGACTGTGTTTCTTTAAAACAAAGGGTTGGGCGCCGTGGCATAGAAACTGGGGGTCACGACACCTGACTCGCTATTAAATTTTTTTTTTATAAGAATTGGCGCTGCAGTGCCCAATATGGGCGCCACGACGCCATTTATTCTGAAAAGATAGTAAATTCAAATTTTATTGGGCGCTGCAAAACCATTTATTCCGAAAAGGCAGTAAATTCAAAATTTATTATTATTATTATTATTATTATTATTATTATTATTATTATTATTATTATACCTCCAACATACTCCCTTCCCATGTTGACTAGAGTGTCAATGCAACCATTTTTGAGCAAATTTCTACAAAAACGAAAAGAAAGTGAAATTATTAAAGTTACCACGAAAGAAAAGGAAATGTCAAACTAAAGAAAGGAAATTTAGGGATAGAACTGGGTTGCCTTCCAAGAAGCGCTTCTTTTACGTCTTTAACTGGACGTGATATGGTTTTAATGTGGTTCTTCAAGGGTAATGTCTTCCACATCTCGATTTTCCTCTCCATAGTAATGCTTGAGGCGTTGTCCATTTGCCTAAAAAATAGACCCATCCTTGTTCACTAACTCCACTGCACCATACGGGAGTACCTTACGAATTACAAATGGTCCCGACCACCGGGATTTAAGCTTGCCCGGAAAGATTTTCAATCGAGAATTTAATAGAAGAACTCATTCTCCTGCCTTAAATTCTCTCCTCAGGATTCTCTTGTCATACCACATTTTTGTCCGTTCCATGTATATTTTCGCATTTTCATATGCACCATTCCGAAACTTCTCTAATTCATCAAGCTGCAACGAGCGTTGTGAACTGGCCGATTTCATGCCCAAATTCAACTTTTTCATAGCCCAATAAGCTTTATGTTCCAATTCCACCAATAGGTGACAAGCTTTCCCAAATACTAAATGGTAAGGTGACAATCCAATTGGTGTTTTGACGGCGATTCGATATGCCCAAAGAGCGTCATCTAGTTTGAGAGACCAGTCATTCCGGCTAGTATTTACTGTTTTTTCTAAAATCTGTTTAATCTCACTATTAGATACTTCTGCTTGCCCATTTGATTGTGGGTAGTAACTAAGTGCCAATTTGTGCTTGACATCATATTTAGTTAAAAGGGAGTTGAACAGCTTGTTATAGAAATGTGTACCTTCATCACTTACAATTGCCCTAGGCGTGCCAAACCGAGTGAAAATATTTTTTTGTAGAAACCTCAAAACCACCTTTGCATTATTTGTTGGTGTGGCAATGGCTTCAACCCATTTAGATACATAGTCTACTGCAAGCAGAATGTATACCAAAAGAAGGTGGAAACAGACCTATGAAGTCTATACCCCACACATCAAATAACTCCACCTCAAGCATATATTAGTTAATGACAGTTCATGATACCGTGAAATGTTTCCAGTACGCTGACAACGGTTACATGTCTTTACAAAAGCATAGCAGTCCTTGAACAGATTTGGCCAATAAAAATCAGATTGCAATACTTTAGCAGTTATCCATGTAGGACCAGAGTGACCTCCATAAGGGGATGAATGGCAATGCTGCATGATTGATTGTGTTTCTTCCACAGGGACACAACGCCTGATATTCTGTCAGCACACCGCTTGAACAATATTGGGTCATCCCACAGATATGACTTGACATCATGTAAGAATTTCTTCTTTTGATGGAAGGTCAAGTCAAGAGGCAATTTTTCGAAAACCAAATAATTGACAAAATTAGCATACCATGGGATCCTTGTTGATACAGCTTGCAAGATATCGTCAGGAAAAATTTCTCGAATTTGACTGTCATCCACCGTTTTCTCATTCTCTAACCGTGAGAGATGGTCTGCAATGACGTTCTCACTGCCTTTTTTATCCCGAAATTTTACGTCGAATTCCTGCAGTAGTAATATCCATCGAATTAGGCGTGGCTTGGTATCCTTTTTTTCAAAGAGATATCGGACTGCAGCATGGTCTGTGTAAATGATCACTTTGGTACCAATGAGGTAGGATCTAAATTTGTCACATACAAACACTACTGCTAGCATTTCCTTCTCTGTTGTGGTGTAATTGAGTTGAGCTCCATTAGGGGTTTTACTAGCATAGTAGATTGCCCGAAAAACTTTATCACACCTTACCCAAAACCGCCCCTACTGCGTAGTCATTAGCATCACACATAACCTCAAATGGTTGATCCCAATTTGACACTACCATCACTGGAGCAGTTACCAATTTTGCCTTTATGGTTTCAAATGCCCTTAGGTAGTCGTCATCAAATGCAAATATTGTGTCCTTCTCCAAAAGGTTGCATAGGGGTTTAGCTATTTTTGAAAAGTCTTTGATGAACCTCCTGTAGAATCCAGCATGCCCCAAGAAACTTTGAATGCCTTTAACATTTGTGGGTGGTGGTATCTTTGTAATTGTATCAATTTTCGCCCTATCAACTTCAAGTCCCCTCACTGAAACATGGTGGCCTAGCACAATTCCTTTTTGTACCATGAAGTGGCACTTTTCCCAACTAAGAACCAAGTTCTTTTCTTCACAGCGGTGTAACACCAAGGAGGGATTGTGAAAGCAGTTGTCAAAAGAAGTACCAAACATCGAAAAGTCATCCATAAATACCTCCATAATGTCCTCAACCATGTCCGCAAAGATCGCCATCATGCATTTTTGAAAGGTGGCCGGTGCATTGCATAACCTGAATGGCATCCGTCTGTAGGCAAAAGTTCCATAAGGACATGTAAAGGTTGTCTTTTCATGATCTTCTAGCGCTATAGCAATTTGACTGTAGCCCAAATACCCGTCAAGAAAACAATAGTAAGAATAACCCACTAATCTGTCCAACATTTGATCAATGAAAGAGAGTGGGAAATGATCCTTTCTAGTTGCCTTGTTCAGCTTCCTATAGTCAATGCACTCTCTAGTAAATTACTGTTCTAGTTGGAATTAGCTCATTGTTGTTGTTCTTAACTACTATCATCCCTCCTTTTTTTGGTACCACCTACACTAGGCTGACCCATTCACTGATTGAAATGGCGAATATGATCCCTGCCTTCAATAGCTTTAGTATCTCAGCTCGAACCACTTCTTTCATTACTGGGTTTAATCTTCTCTAATGTTCAATGGACGACTTGTAGGAATCTTCCATGAGGATTTTATGCATGCAAATTGTAGGACTTATCCCCTTGATGTCAGCTATCGATCAGCCCAAAGTGGCCTTGTGATCCCTCAACACTTTTAATAATCTGTCCTCTTCATCCCTGGTGAGTGATGAAGAAATGATCACTGGAAATGCAGAATTGTCCCCCAAAAATGCATAGCGGAGGTGATCTGGTAATTGCTTCAGTTCAATCTTACTGCTTTCACTGCTTTCTTTATCATCTGATTTCTTTGATTTCTGAATATCTTCACACTGTGACAAGTTGTTTTGAACTGGTGTAGACTCTAGAGCCAATATGCAATCAATCAGGTCTTTGCTCCCTGCATATTCTCCAGAAGAGCTGATGTCATCCTTTGTTGAACTAAACATCATACACTGCTCTAAGGGATCCTCAATATATAATTTCTCATCGATCACAGTAGAATCAATGAAGTCAATCCTGTGGCATGTGTCAGTGTCGTCCGAGTACTTCATTGCTTGGTAGATGTTGAACCTCACCTCTTCTTGATTCACTCTCAATGTCAAATATCCTCCTTGCACATCAATTAATGGTCTTCGAGTTGCTAAAAATGGCCTACATAAAATCAGTGGGATTTCTTGATCTTCTTCCATATCCAACACCACAAAATCAGCTGGGAAGATGAATTTGTCGACCTTTACTAACACGTCTTCAATAACACCTCGTGGGTAAGTGAGGGACCTATCAGCCAGTTGCAGAGTCATTGTTGTTGGCTTGACTTCCCCGAAGCCTAACTTCTTGAATACTGATAATGGCATTAGGTTGACGCTTGCTCCTAGATCATAAAGGGCCTTTTCAAAGGAAGAGCTTCCAATGGTGCATGGAATAGTGAAACTGCCCGGATCTTTTCTCTTCTGAGGAAGTTTCTTTTGAAGGATAGCGCTGCATTTTTCTGTTAATTTTGCTGTTTCATATTCCTCCAATTTTCGCTTTTTTGACATCACCTCCTTCATAAACTTTGCGTAATTTCGCATTTGTTCCAAAGCATCTGCAAAATGAATATTAATGTGAATTTTCTTGAAAATTTCTAAAAATTTTGCAAATTGATCATCAAATTTTTTCTTTTGAAAACACTGTGGAAATGGAAGTGGTTGTGTGAGAATTGGTGGGTTGTCAGGGAAAGATATGGAGTAAGGTTTGTGAGCCTTATTTGTTCCTTTAGCCTGCTTTTCTTGCTCTTTTACTACTTGTTCTTTCTCCTTATCAGGTGTGAGGTTGCTATTTTCGGTGGGTTCACTTTTTCCAACTTGATTGTCACTCTTTAATACAACGACCTTACAATGCTCCTTTGGGTTGACTTCTGTATCACTTGGAAATTTTCCTTGTTTCTGAGACTTCATTGAGGTAGCCAACTGACCAATTTGCACTTTAAGATTCTTCATTGTGACTCCCATGTTGGACACATGTGTTTCAATATTATCCAACCATAATTATTCTTTGTTGAAGCGTGATCTTGTCGCATAAATGAATGTCCCAAGGATGTCTTCCAAGGATGGTTTCCCTTCAGAATTCTGAGTGTTGAATCCGGGTGAAGGTTGAAGTGTGTTTCTATTGTTGCCATATGACAAGTTTTCGTGATTCCTCAGCCTTGGATGATAGTGATTAGCTTGGTAGCTTCTTCTTTGATTGTAGTTTCTACTGTTGACATATTGGGCCTGCTCGTTTGCAACCTTTGTCTGTTGGTGTGATGAAGAAGTACTCATGACTGAATCTACCTTCTGTTGATTTCCCTGAGTAGTAAGCGTGACTATCTGATTTGTGAGTGATGCAACCTGAGCTGCTAGTGCTGTGATGGGATCCATTTCATGAAGTCCTACCACTTTCTTTACGCCCGATCTCTCACTTGGCCATTGGTAACTGTTGGTGGCTATGTCATCCAATAAAGCATATGCAGCTTCTGTTGTTTTAGCCATTAGAATGCCTCCCGCAGCTGCATCCACCATAGTCCTTGTCTGCCCATTTAGCCCATTATAAAATATCTCAATTTGCACCCATTTCTGGAACCCATGTTGATGACATCTCCTAAGCAAGTCTTTAAATCTTTCCCAGGCTTTATAAAATGGCTCGAAGTCGAGTTGTTTGAATTGGCTAATCTCACTGCGAAGTTAAGCTGATTTAGAAGGTGGAAAGTACTTGGTGAGAAATTTCTGAGCCAAATCATCCCAAGTTGTAATTGAGCCATACGGTAGTGACTAGAACCAAGCCGTTGCTTTATCCCTTAAAGAGAAAGAGAATAGGTGAAGTCTGATTGCATCTTCAGTAACCCCATTCATCTTCACCTTGTCACAAATTTCCAAAAAGGATCTAAGATGAGCATTTGGGCCATTCATTGTAACACCCCCAAACTGATTCTGATGCACCATATGTATCAGTCCTGGCTTCAATTCAAAGTTGTTTACAGCAATTGCTGGGCGTGCAATGCTGGAATAATTGTCATTGACAACGGGCCTTAAGTAGTCCCGAATAGTTGGTTATTCTCATTAGCTGCTCTTGCTTCCTGTTCCGCTATTGCTTCCCATTCGTTTCTTTGTATGCCTCTTGGAATGCGAAATGTGCGTTCTGGTTCAGGATCAACAGGTAGTAGGTCCAGATTTTTCGCCCTTCGCATAAACAGCTGAAAATAAACACAACGAATCTATTAGGGATAGACACAAAATGGAAAAAAAATTAAAATAAAAATAAAAATTACGATCAAAATAAAAATCTTAATTAAAATGAACATTGATTGGTAATAATATCGATTGAATTCGAATGAATCAATCCTTGACAACGGCGTCAAAAACTTGCCACACGTTTTATATAACGTAATTTAACCACAAGTGTACGGTGTCAAGTTTTGTAATATAGTGAAGAATTTAAAAGTGTCGAACCCATAGGGATTGATATTCAAATTCCACTGAGTATTGTAATTGTTTCAATTTTCACTTTATTTAGACAAATCCAATTTTTAAATGATGTTTTTATGCTAATCTAATTTAAATGGAATAAAGAATGCAAGTAAAGTTAGACAATTTCTAAAAATCAAATCAAACTATGGATATCTAGGGATTGATTTCACCATATTATCAACATGTTCTCAACCTCTATAGCCATTTTCATCGAATTTTTCCCAATTTATAAGCAAGAACCCTAATTTAATTCTATTTCCTCTCTTGAGTGCCAATATAACCTATCTTTATATTTTAACCCCAATATCTCTATTTCGAATTAAATACATAAAGATTATTAAAGCTCTTGGTTCTTGTGTATACCCCTCAAAGATTTGCACTTTCTCTCGAAACCTACAAATTTAGGTTATGTTGTTCCAGATCATGTCTAAATTTCCCTCTCTCGAGCATTAAATTTAAGGCATCGATTCATTCAATTGGTGATCAGGCAATTGAAAGCATTAAGCACAAAACAACACAAATAAATCATGGAAAACTGAAAGAAATAACTGTATTAGAATCAAATCATGTCTCAAATAGGCTACATCAACCCTCGATCTATGAATTTAGTTCATGCTTGAATCGATCAATATGCCAAAATACAAGATAAAAAACATGAAAAATAGTAAATAGGGGTTTAGAAAAACTGATTGAAGCCGTTTGTTCTTCTCCAATCGTTCTTCAATCTTGATGCAATTTAATTTTCTTGTCCTTGCCTCTTGAATGGATCTTCACTTTTGCACCATTTTTTGCCCAAAGAGAATACCAGAAAAAAGTAACACCCCCCTTTGGTTTTTTTCTTGGTATTTATGTTATCTTCGAATTTTGGGTGGTTAGGAAACATCTTGGGCCGAGAAATATCCAAAAAATTGGGCTTTTCGACGTTGCGAGGTTCGGCGTCGTGGCGCCCATCGCCAGCTATTCTGCTGCTTCTTTTCACGCTAAGCGCCATGGCACCCAAGGCTGGCGCCGTGCCGCCCAGCTTCCTGCTGAATTTCTCCTTTTATTGGGCATCGTAGCATCCAATTTAGACGCCGTGGCACCTAACAAGCTGCTCCTTGCTTGAATTGTTCATTTTCTAAGCTTCTTTTTCATTGCAATCTTCTTTTCTGATCTCTAAGTTATGACCACCATTTAGATTCATCACAAGCTCCCAATTATGGTGTTTTCTCGAATGTTGATTGAGCTGCAAGACAATACGAATACACTCACCAAAACGTTCAAAAGTGCTCAAGAACAAGTTAAAACCCGTGATTTAGAGGCGTATGTTTAATGAGTGAATTACACTCATCAATGACCACCATGGAATGGGTAAAATGTACCAAATAACCAACACAATATAAAAGTACAACGGAAACCAAGTTTCGTGTAAGTTTGGGAACATAATAACATTCATCCAAAATTAAATGTCTACGATTTTCAAAATATAAAGTAAATGTGCCAACAGCTTTGGTAGACACTACTGTTCCTTCATGTAAGTTCAGGAACATAATAATAGTCATTCAAAATTATATGTGTATGATTTTCAAAATATAAAGTAAAAGTGCCAACAGTTTTGGCAGACATTACTGATCATGTGCCAACTCTAAGAGTGTACTTCCCTTTACTAAAGTGCTTGGTTTTCTGAAACCCCTACAAAGAATTGCAAACATGATTAGTAGCTCTAGAATCTACGATCCAGGTATTAGTAGAATCAACCACTAAGCATGACTCAATAAATAGGGTGCTGCTTTTACCTTGCTTCCTCTTAGCTAGGTGATCTGGGTAATTCCTCTTCCAATGATTCTTTTTGTCCATAAGAGAAACAATTTCCTTATGGTTTCCCATCGACCGTAGTTTTTTTCCCTTTTGACTTACTATATTTTCCTTTGTTTGGCCTCTTCCTCTTATTTCTTCCTTTGCCGCCAAAAGGGTTAGGATGAAAGGATCTATTTGTTACAATCAAAGTACTTTCACTTTTAGCTTTTGGATCAGTTTTAACATTTTGGAGCTTTTTCATTAATTTACATCTTGTATAGATTATAATCAACTATAAACTTTAAGAACATCTCAGGGAGAGTCTCAAGAACCATGTCAATCTGTCTATCAAAATCAATGTTAGCTCCTAAAACCTCCGCAACATTGAAGTGACCAATCATGGTTAACATATAGCCCCTCATAGATGTGCCTGTTTTCTTGCGTATATTCATAATTGCCTTAATAGAGGCTTGTCAACATTATGTCAAAAGCAATTTCCATGTTCTGATGTTTTTATTGCAATACATTTGACATAGATGTCAAAATCTAGCAACAAGCCATCTCATTAGAATAAAACCACTTTTCATATGCAGTCTTTTGAGATTTCGTGGAATCATCTTTAGGGAATTCAGGACAAACTTTAGTCAACACAAATTTGTGTTTTTCATCAGTAAGAACAATGTTAAGATTTCATTTTCAATCAACATAGTTTTCTCCAACAAGTTGGTTTCTATTAAGTATCATTGATAATGGATTGAGCGACATTTTCTGTAAAATTAACGATTCGCATATTAATAAAATGAACAATAATCTTTATATGATGCATGTATATGAGTGTGCAAGTATATACCCAAAACTATATTTTCAACCAAACCATTACAACTTTAACACCCCCTCTATAGGAGGTCAATGTAGTTGTCGGTAAGATTGGGATCCTCCCACTCATTTTATTGAGTAAGGCATCTCATGCCACAGTAAAAATGAGGATTGATTATTATTTGACATATGAATAAATTTGTCGGAACCTTCTATAGGAAATCCTCCAAAAAAAAAAAAATCATATATAAGTGTAATAATCTCCGCCAATAATTTTTCAAATATCTAAAATATATGCGATGTTATCTATAAGATAATCAAACCATTTTTTATTTTAAAAACATTCTATTATTAGATCCTCTTTTGGTTAATCTAAAATAACTTAGTTTTCCTATAGGGAGAGTGATGTAATTCGATACTAAACTTACGTATTTAATAACAAATTGGACGATGGATGAGGCCATAGGTTTACACATGCCTATAAACTCTCTCCCACTTATTATTTTGAACCGTTGAATTTTCATTTAATAATTAATGTGCCAAATATAAGCAATTATAATGGCACTAAATTATTAAATATAATTTTTTAACCACCTCTAATAAATTTAGAGTGATGAAAAACATACAATACCAATGCATATGATTTTAGTGCACCGGGTGGTGTTCCATTAATCTACATGATACGTGATAATCATACATTTATTCATCATCCATGAAGAGATTAAAGCAATCATTAAATGAATTATAATCACTCATGACCCATCCTGAGAATTTAAATCACAATAGAGATTAAATCATTCCATCGGGCCACATTCCAACCCAATTCTTCAATTTTCTTGTAGTCCAACCCATGCAATATTCAAAAATTGGGTCAATTTAATTTTTAAGTCTCAACCCTATACAACTAGATTGGCCCAAGTGTCGAAGGAAAACCAAAAAACTCAAAATTAACATAATTTCACAAACACTAACAAATCCAACATGTTTTACCTCGACCACCCTTAATTCAGCAACAGCACAAGTAGAGGCGATTTCGAAAGAGGCCACCACGGCCAAGTGCTGCTACAAGTAGCTGTAGCTGTTGTATGATTATAGCAACAACCATGGCTATTGTCGCCTCGTGAGAGGCAACAACTGCTACCTTTGACCATAGTAGTTGCCATTGCTCCAATCGCGATGGCTGCTATTGTCGCCTTGGGCAACCCTACATGATTTTACATCTTATTCATCTCTATCTCCTTTCATTTCTCCAAGAAAAATAGTAACAAAATCCATCATCTTCTCTTAATACATAAGTGTAGAAATATGAAAAAAATGTACAAAACCCTATAAGGCTTACAATTTTTCTAGAGAAAAGTGCAAAAAATGAATTACAATGGAAAACAATAAAAAATTCTAGGGCCAAAAGTGATTATGTATAAACATCTACTTTAAACATATAAAGTAATAAACATATCAAATCAAACAAACTAACAAGATCCATACTAAAAATGCATTTTATACTAGGATTTAAAGAATTTAATCCTATTCAAAGATCTCAAAATCCTTGGCTTTAATACCATTTGTTCATTGTTGGATTTAATCATCAAAATAGGAAACTAACTTTCCTTTGAAGATTAAACCCATAAAGAATAAAGGATCTTAAATCACCTTGAAATCATTGTATGTTTTTAAATCCTCATACGAAAAGGTGAGATGATAACCTTAAAGAAGCTTTTGATGTCCTAGCCAATTGCTTCCTTGTGCTCCTTTAGGTGCCTCTCTCTTTGGGAAATGAAAATGTTGCTAAACCTAAAACCATATGAAAATGTGCCCGTAAAAAGTATATTTATAATACTCAATTAGGGTTTTATAATTGTACAAATTTTATTGGACTTTATTGT